TAATGGTATATATCAATCAGTCGGGGCGCCGACAAAGGGTGTGGTGTGATCCCACCCCGCTTGCGTTTTCTACCATAAGTGATTGGTTAGTGATCGATGCAGCATGAAAACAACCAGTGGTGAAAAGATCGCGGTTGAGCTCATTTTATGTCGCTCGAATTGCCCGAGTGACTGCGACGATATCAACTGTGCGAACATTGAAAAATTTGTAACAATGAAAGTATATATTAAATATATTTATTGATTATTAGTGAATTCCGAGTTGTTTTTTGATGAGTGCGGTGACGAGGCGGAATGGTCGTTCCTCAAATTCAACGTATTGTTCGTGTGGAATTTTCACTTGATCGCCTTTCATACGATTCAATAACGTCACACATACGATGGCTGCTGAAAATATTGACGATCAATAATGTTCTTGAACTTTTGTCCACTTATTTTTTTTTCGAAAACCTGATCACAACCCGTCGAATTTTAACATTTAGGAGGGTTCTGATGCATAAAAAAGGTTTCAAAGCTAAAAAACACTGGAGTATGTGAGGGTGCGCCACGTATCCTAATTACAATAAGATACGTAAAGGAGAGTGGATGGGCATTTGGCTTAACCAACAGTTTATACGGATCAATTTTTAATTATTGATACGCCGACCTAATGAAAATTCGTATTTGGCACCAACGAGGAAAAGGAAAACATGTGAAATGATTGGTCGGAATCTGACAATTGTTATCAGACCACGTCGCACCTTGTGGAATCCCCGGGGGAGGGGAGGGGGGGGGGACGTATCTGATCTAGGAAATTTGCTTTCGATAGTTGATTGTTCATGTTCTACGGGCGATAAGAGAGTTCGTATTTGCTCTTTGTTGGGAAAACGGCGGGGGTCGTATCTGCTATTTAGAGAAATTTGCGGAGTCGGAAATAAGTTTTTTCGGATGTCGACTTTCCCCCCTCCCCTTAGTTAGTGGCGCCACCAAGGTTCTGTACAACTACTGTTTCTGATAGTTTAAACTATTTCTTGTTTGCTGACGACCACTGTCTCCCCTTCCACCACCTCTCTCCCCGCTCGACAGCGGAAAAACTGTAAAAATTCCGGGAAATTCCAAAAAAAAAACTGGAGAGAGTGGTAGGATGAGAAAGTTCTCTGAAAGTGGTAGGTAGGAATGGAAAAGCGGGTGGGAGGGGGGGTCGCGTCAGGAGGAGGGAATTAGCGGGTCGTATTCTACGAAAATTTTCGCCAGCGGCAGGACATTTTACGAAAATTTCAGCCAACGGCAAGACGTGCCCTGATTGTGATGCAGCGATTCTGCGTACAGAACCTTCACGTACGTTCTTTAGGGGCGAATCAAAGGCTTGGCCAGGACTGGTCTTCCTACTTCTCGCCCAAAATGCTAGTAGGGAGCTAATAGTGGGGAAATGGCGAAAGAACGGAGTGAAACGGTCAAAATCCGGCGAAGAAAAAGCCTTCGTTTTCAGTGGACTTAGTGAATCGATCTTCGATCACGAGTTTGCCCCGTACGCATTTTGCCAATCACCGCTACCGAAGATACGGCTGCATATTTGTACCCATATATGCATGCAGCATCACCGCCGCTTCATACCAATCCCTTTGCTTCATAATTAATCCTTGCTCAGCAAATGAAATGAACATAAGAGCGTCAGGAAACGCTCGATTTCCGATTTGTGGCGGCCGGGGCAAGGAAGGCGTTTGGGACGTAAAGTTGTTGCTCAACAGGGCGTTATAGAGGTACCCTCCTTGGAAAAGGCTTCACGCAGCGCCTGTCCGAGGTCACGGAATTCTGTTAAGCCATTTGTACAAATTCTACACCTGTATAGCGATTTATCGTGCCAACTGCCTTTAAACGAAACGAGAC